CAATGTGCATTAGTTTTATAAAGAAAAGTACAAGACACAATTTCTATGCGGCTAACCCATATTATGTAGAAATGCGGGTTGGGAAAATAATATGTTTTTAAAAATATAATTTGATCTCAATTTTCAGAGGATATATAATCCTTAACATGGAGATCACGATATGAAAAAAAAAATTTAAAAAAAATAAATAATAAAAAATAAAAACTAGGAAGAAAAATTATATTAAAAAAACATTTGGACCATCAATTACAATTGTTTTTAGATGGACCACTTATTTGCATCTACTTTTAAAATAGATGCGTTATACCTTTGGACTGCATTTTGTAGCAATGTGGTCCAGAGCCAGCATGAAAGAATTTTCCAAAAGAAAATACTTCGCAGATGAACCAAGTGTAACATCCATCCGAGCGACTAACGTCAACTTTAAAAAGTAAAAAATCAAACTCCATTGTGTAAAATTACTCAAGATTGAATGACGAGTGTCCAATTTTTTATCCGTCATTTTAAGTATTTAGAAACTTAAAATTCTAATTTTTTCTTCTTTTGAAATACTCATTCATTCGGTGATTATAAAGTGGACCCATAAAAAAACTTGTCCTACTTACGGATGTTTATGGGCCGTGACCTAGCCGCCAGTCTTGTCCTACTTAGGGATGTTTATGGGCCGTGACCTAGCAGCCAGTATTTTGTCTATGGATGGTTACAAGCTGGTTGGGGCTGCATGTTAAATTCATTAGCCGGGTCTGGGTGTCTATGGATGGTTACAAGCTGGTTGGGGCTGCATGTTAAATTCATTAGCCGGGTCTGGGCTCGCACCGGCCTAACTCGAGATTTTATTATCGTCAATGTTTTTTTTCATAACTTCCAACTATGTCTTTTTGGGCTTATCAGGCTAGTCCGGGAGTTCTTTATGTATATATAACATATATTGAATATTTTTCGTGGATTCATTCAAATTTTTATGTCCAAGCAAGGTGCTAGCATGGCAGCTTCATTATCACAATTTCGGGTCCGGACACCTAGAACTGACTTTTCAAGCCCAAACCTAGCCTACACTCTGTAAACCATGTCGGGCCCAACCCGGACATAGCACAATCCTTTAAGTAGCATTTGCTGCAAAGCGTAAAGTAGTTGGATCATAGTGAGGATAAAATTCTAATGGAAGGAGATTAGATTTAATGTAGTGAAAATGATCAAAGGAGAACAGCATATTGCATAGAGACTGACCCATTTTGATCGAATCAAGCATCTTTTAAGTCGAAGTTATGATATCCTACACTGCTATAGGGAGAGTTACGTAAATACAGACTCTCATGTGAGATTTGGTATAACCCAAACCATTCAAGATGTAACTATAATTTGATTCATATGTTGCATTTGGTTGATACAATTGTAAAACCAATACAAGGAATGAAAAAGTCGCACGTTACCATTCAAAAAAAAAAAAAACGGATAATTTATCAAAATACCCTTAAGAGAAACTATTTAATATCTTACCCTTTTGTAATTCTTCCATGCTATGATCATGCATTTTTTTATAGGTATTTTGAAATTGAAACAAAAGGCAAATAAAATAGTTAATAGTTCATATCTTATAGTTGTTAGAGTAATTTACATATAGATCTTAAATTTTTTTTTCTAAAATACAAAATGCTTTATTTATAGGCAGAAACTACAAAATAAAATCGGTCAACGTGACTTTATAAATTTTTTTTCCAAGCTGCCTTTCAGTCTTGGTCCGAATTTTAAATTTTGTGATCACTCTATCTCTCTCTACAGGAAAGTGAACCCCATGCCTTGTCAACATCTCTCTCTCTTCTCATGTCTGCTTTTCCATGTTATAGTGTTCTACATTTTTTCCCTCATTGAAGAAAGAAGGATCTGTGAGGGCTTGCTCCCCCTCCACCAACTTTCTCAAATTTAAGAAACACCATCAAAATAACAAGGGAGATATTTTTTTATATGCATTTATAATGCTCCTCCAAATTTCAATCTTTCCGATATGCAAAACTGGTTTGATTTGATTTGAGGGGCCTTCCTTGGATTTGAGTGGTCCAAATTTGGTGGTATTTGGAGGGTGGATGGCTGAGTGTTCCAATAAAGAATCTGGACCTGGGTTTTAAAATGAAAACGAGAATACAAAAGAAATCTAACTATAAAAAACCAGTGGAGGTGGAGTAGTTGAAAAGCATGTCACCACCCAAGAGGCATGGATGTGGGTGTGCTTTAATCTCTCTCTAAACTTGGACTCTTGATATGAGTTGGTTTCGTGGTGGACAAGATGATCTCTCCTAGTCCACTTGAAAATGGGACCGGCAATGGTCCGGCCCGGCCCGGCCCGGCCCGGCCCGCACTTAAAAAGCTAGAGCTTGGGCAACTGTGGCCCTAACCCAATCCTGTACACCACCCTCTTTTTTTCTTTTTCTTTTTTTTTATTTTTGCTTTATTTGTTTTTAACCTAGCCCAGCCCTAACAAGGCCAAGGCCAGGCCAGGAAGAAGGCTGGCACGCCCAAGCCCGGCCCATTGCTACCTTTACTCCAAAATGATCCATTTCTCTATACAAAGTGGGAAACCAATCCCCACCCAAAGAATTCTTAGTCATTGATTTCCCTGGACAGTTGTACTACGTGAAGGGTTACCATTACAAGTCTATTAATTATTCCCAAGGGAAGTGAAACAAACTTCAATTTTTGTTCAACTCCCATCTCACTCAATTGTCCGAATTTAGGTTTCACCACCTTCCTGTCTATCCTTGTCACTGTGACCCAAACCTGCAATTACTAATCACATGTATGGTGTATGCGCACATATACTATGCTCCCTTGGGAGCATAGTTTACTTCTACACCATCAATCAGACCTAATTGTGAAGATTTTTTCTATCTTAAGAATTACTTGATGATTGTTCATAAAAACAATAAAAAAATGAAATTTGAGTTTCTTGACACTTAAATCTCACCATCTAAAATTTGGATGCATAGAGAACACATTATGACATTTCTTTTTAATGAAGTTAATCAGTGAGTTGAAGAGATTACACCACCAAAACTTTAGGTCCTAATATATACTTAGTGAGGTTTTTACCTAAGGGAGTAAAAGGATATTCTACTCCCGCGGGAGTAGAACATCTTTAGGCATGATGTATATTTGTATCAATGAGCAAATGCATTTGTGCTTTCAAGTAGTCAATTTTATTGAGCCAAATTGTTTCCCCATTTTTAAAAAGAAGCTGCATGGAACACATAACGGCTTATGTTAGACAAGGAAAAGAAAGAAAGTAGGCAAAGGAAATGGTTGGACAGTCCATAACTATCAAGTTTTGTGGTCCAAGTTAAATATCGTGGTCCAAACCTAAGTCAATAGCCTACGAGCATATAAAGGAAGTATAAGCGTCATATATTTTGGTTGGGTCTAGGTTGTTATCAGCCTGGGAGACCCCAATTGCCTGTGTGCCCATTCTAGCCTTAGATTTATTGTGCTCTCTCTCTCTCTCTCGATCTCAATAAGTTCTGCCTCACGATTACCCAATAGTGGATACCACTGAGTTATTCTTGCTAATGGAATTCGAAGAATTAGAAAAATATACAAAAAGACCATTTACCTTTAATACAAAGAAGGGTGCTTCATATGCTTTCAATCGTCGTGCCCTTCCTCATTTCTAGCATAGCTAGAATTGGTGTGCCAAACTTATAAGATGTACGAGTTCTTTGGTGATAGCTGGGGTCATTAGGTAGGGTGGTACTCCTTGGCCATTTCTAGCATGCTTTTGGAAAGGTGAGCTAACTTCATAGCTTTGCCTTTTCCATCTCTCTCTTAATTGGTTTCCACATATTTTCAAAGGCTCCTTTATGCACTATTCTTCCCTTTCCAAAACGTGGTGCAGCCGATCCATAGAAAGACAAACAGAAATATTTATACCCAATGTGCCCAATTTTGGAAGGCATTGTAATTTACGCAAACTTGAGTGTTTGGCCATTTCTTTGAACACATATTTCTTTGAAAACTCCATCCTATTTTCTTTGCTCTTTATCTCCTGTTCTAAACAATTATCTGAGGAAGCAAGTAGATAAATTATAAAAACTTGACTATAGTTTGGGTGTGGACATCAAGGCCAGTTTTTCTTGCAACATCTACTGATTTGTGTGGACATATAGGCCTCATAATGAGGAAGGCACATGTATAGGTGCACTATCTCGACTTAAACCCGACCCAAATCAGGCTTTGGGTCTTCTTAATCACTCAATGAAACCAGAGTCCAACATAATGACAAAGTGAAGAATGCTCCTAAAGAATCACAGTAAATGAGAGCATAAAGTCTAGTAACTCCAGTTTCATACCAAATGTTCAAAAGAGTCATCCTGAATGTTAAATTATTACGTACTATGTCTTCTTCCATGACAAAAATGGACATGTAGAACTAGAGCACTACTCTTAGGTATCGACACTAGATAGGCAACAATATATAATACAAACATAACATGCATACATATGTACATGCGCACTCGGATATGTAGAAACACATGCCCCAGTCCCATGCACGATCCACAATAGCTAGCGGGTGCACCGTCATACATAAATATGAATATGTAGTCATACATAAATATGAATATGAATATGTAGTCATGGAGAAATAATTCAAACCTACCATTGCAGTCATGTCAAGTTCTGTTGTGCCCACTTGTGGACCATAGATTGAAGGACCATCATGACTCCGAATTTTCACTGTCAACAGGATCATAGTCTTGTGCAACACTCCAGGGAAGAAATATCATGTTAATTTGTTGACCAAAAATGATTTCCCCAAGAGGACGGAGTATTTCAGGTTAGAAGTTGTAGCTGTAGTTTCACTCTTCAAAGAATAAGAAACTTAGATCATCACACACATGTACACACACACACTTGCCCAAGAGCACACACACAGCATGAGCATCTCTTGGGCTTTCAGAAAGGTGAGAACTAAATCCGAATCAAGACAGCCCATATAATAACATAATATCATCAAATCAAACAATCACCGTGCATTATGCAGATGACCATCTTATTGCAGAAAAATTGAATTATATTGCAAATAAATCTGTATCGAGGCACTCACTTCCAATCACAACATGCTGGAGGTAGAAATAAATAGGAAAAACCTCAATTGGATTATGAATCTCTAGAAAACAAAAAATTGGCAGATTCTTCAGATAATTCAATGCCTCCAAATTTGAATAGCCAAGACCGATACCTTTGGTTAACAGAAAGAATCTGTTTGAGAGGCAAGCTCAATAGAGTCCCAAAAACTTCCACCAGAATGTACCCACGACTCCCCATATAAGAACATTGAACATGGCAGTGATGAAGCCAAGCCGGAAAACGTCTGGAAGCTCTACATAGCCCGCTGCATATCAAAGACGATGCCACCACTTTCAGTAGTAATCATAGAATTTAAAGAGAAAGAGGTCCAATAAAACCATAACAGCACAGTTAAGACTCACTATACTTTATGAGTAGATTCAAGGGAGCACAAAATGGGAAAGTACACCATTTTTAAACAGAGTATGCAAAACCCTAGCACATCCAGAGTCATAACCATTCAAAGAAATGGAACGGCAATGGAAAGAGTGGACCCACCATGGCCACATCATCTTCTGGTGGGTCCCACCTATCTCCATCATAATCCACCATTTCATTGGACAACACTCATTCCAAAAGACTATTACAAGTCCAAAGCATGTCCATTGGATTGTACTAAGCATAAAAAACAGGGCAGACATAAATAAAACTCATTCATTCTATTACCATGAATAGATAGGGAAGATGAAACAATAGCCAAGCTGTGGATGCAAAGGTAAAATCTCAATGGAAAAAATGGTTTTAGAAAAAGATTGCATAATACTATCAAATAAGTCAAACTCTCCCCAAATGGGATTTAGGCACTAGTTTGATTGACTAAGGTGATGACAATTGCAACTCCCAGGTTCAATTGCTAAGCTCACCTATGCAGAAAAAAGACAACCTCCCAAAATGGCCAACTCTCACAATGGAGTCAATCATAATAAATTACAAGACCCATAAAAGCATGGTGATTAATTTTGGAACAAGTGGTAAGGTGATAAATAAAATTGAAACGAGCTAAGAAGATTTCATTAGAGAGAAGAAAGATGAGGGAAAAGACTGAAGTGACATATGTCCAAGATAAAGGTTCTAAGAATGGGGCCAGGATCTTCCTTCACAAATCTGCAGCTCCAATGCTATTGATGCTTAACAGAATAATCAGATGTTGCAATAATTGCCATGAAAAGCAAATAGCTTCTTCATTCCAAAACACCAGATGTTCCTCTAAAACACAACGTGTGTTAAAGAAGATGCTTTAATACATAGTTAAAGCCTTACCTCCGTAATACACAGCAGCCTGACCACTGCTAAAATGAGTCAATGCACCAAAGAGATTTGTGTTATAGGCCAATGCAAGCGCTGCTAATGCACCAGGCACTCCAGATGCTAAGTGCATGGCTAGAAATGCAGAATATAAGGCCCCCACATGTCCAGTTTGACTTGCAAATAGATAGTGGATGAAGAAATAAGCTGCTTGTAGAACGCAAAAAGCAGCAGGCCAGCTTAATGAGAAAGCTTGAAGAGACTTGGCAACACAGCTTGACATCCATGACACGATTCCGAGGTTTGTCAGTTGACCTGCCATCCCCACAAGGACTGCGAACCAAGCCAATGTGTCCCATGCAGATTTCTCACTCAAGCAGTCATCCCAATCAAGCACCCCAAGTAACAAAAGCAAAGATAACCCAAGCATCGCTGCAACCACACTTGGTATACCGAGAGATTCACTGTACACAAAGAAACTGCATCAATGCCAGGATATTGAAGTACAAAAGACCAAGTCAATAAGGTTTTTCTTGAAACTTGTCACTTCTACCTAAGTTAAGGAAAAGATGCTTACTTCTGAGCTCCTTGAGAAAACCATATCCCCGCCATCCATTATTTCAAAGGATGGTCATGACCCTAAAGACACAAAGTCCTTGGGATCACAGAACATTTTTTTTGCCTCCCATTAAAGAAATCTCAAACCCCACCAGTTGAGACAAATATACAACATCAGTATAATAGAACACTTAACTACTAAATATCCTTCTAGATATCCCAACCTCGATGATACTTTGTGAAATTTCAACAAAGTAACCAATCTAAGAGGTCATGCATATCTCTGAAGTCTGAACACAGTACTTTCAGAAAACCTCAGGTAAAGGAGGTTTAATTATGCTTTTCCTAATTGACAAAGAGAGGTTGATCTGCATCACTTTCGGAATACATATCAATGCAACAGAACAGTGCTCTAATGATTTCACATAGAACAAAATAATCCCGCGTCCTAAAGTTTAGGACATCGGAAATGAGAACTTCCAATTTGACTGAACCAGATGCACTACCTGCACTCTTCTAAAGCCGAAAGTTAAAAACTTGTAAATTGTGATTGTGGAAAACATTTCTTTTTAGTCATGTTACGTATATTTGTTTTAATGAGTATAAATTTTGATTTTCTGAATTGGATCTAAGCCATAGCTTTGGTTGAAGTCACTTGCTACCCACACTCCAAAATGAGTAAAATTTCGTGAGTCAACAAGTGTAGATACCTACAAGCATGTGTCATCCTTTCAAACACGTAGTACATTGCCAGTACGTACATGACATTTTGAGGACGTTTCATCACATTTTGATTATGTAGCCAGTTTTTTTAAATAAAAAGCCAACTTTATACTGTGAAAAGGTGGCACATGACAATGATATTTAGTAACATCCTTTAACTTGGAGGACCAGAAGGTCCTTGTACACCAAGGGGCAGTAAAATCTTCCTTTTACATGCATCAGCGTTCAACTGAAACGAGCCCCCTAAAGTAAAAAAATTTATTTTCCCTCATATACATTTTACTAGAAGGCAGGTTTTACATGGGTCATCCATTATGAGCATTATTTTTCCAACATATTCTTTCATAGTTGTTTCTAATAATTTTTTTCAGTTATGTACTTTTTTAAGGATTTAGTTTTTTTATATTTACTTTGACTGTTTTATGAATTTTCAACAGTCACATTTTCAACAGAATATTCCATTATTTTATAAACATATAATCTGCCTATTATTATGTATAGATATCTCACCACGTCTCAAATTTTGGGTGCTGAATCTGACTCAGACACATAGCTGATGTGAAATGTGCATCAGTTTCTAGCTAACATAGCATGAGATATGGGTTTGATCACTAGCTCGACGGAAAAGAAGAGTATTAGCTTGTTGCCCAGCAGAATGGAATTCTTAAACTTCACACTTAACTATCCAAACAATAAAAAATGAAAAATAGAAGCAGGAAAACCAGTCCAGCAAGTAAAGAAGATTCGGAATCAATCGGAGAACTATGGGGAAAATCACAAGTGGATATCCAATAATACGGCATTTGGGAAATCTACAGGGTATGATTTGTTCTAAACAGCAAGTAAAGAAGATTCGGAATCTATCGGAGAACTATGGGGAAAATCACAAGTGGATATCCAATAATACGGCAATTGGGAAATCTACAGGGTATGATTTGTTCTAAAAATACATATACAATTACATGTACAATTAAGTGAATATCCAAATAAGCCTCAATAAATCTGTTTGAGAGTACTTTCGTAGTGCCACCACTGACGATGCAGAACTACTTAATTCTGTCAGAACGGCCACATAGCATCAGTGAGTTTATCAAAATTGTACTACATTGTTCAATTTGTATGTTTTTATAAAAACATAGGAGTAAAAACGAGGAATCCTCCAATGGACTTTTAAACTCCATGGATTTCCCCCCTTTTTCCTCCAATCTTGGATTTTCTCATTTGGACAAAGCTGTGCCACTTTTTCTTAATCCAAAATCCTACTTGAAGCCTATTTCTTTGTATTTCTTGGATTTGGAATTAGAAAGAGAGAAGGAATCTAACTATTGGGGACATTTGCTCTCTCTCTCTCTCTCTCTCTGCCGCCCCCCCCCCCCCTTCACCGCTTCCCTCTCTTGTCACCAGAAATCGAAACCAAATGTTTCAAGCGAGTGCTTGGCTTCTCCTTTCTCTTCTTCTTTTCCATTTCTGGTGATTTTTCTAGTACTTTCCCAGGTGAAATTGTGGTGTAGATCCAATAGTGAAGATCAAAGCTCAAGACTGCCCATACTCTTGTAGAGTTTGCAGTGCTTGCTTTACTATCAAGTGATTTCCCCCTGGAATTCTCACTACCCTTTCCAATTCATTCCCTACCCCTTCTCTCTCTAATCTTTCTTTCTCCACCCCTTTTACACTCTCACTCTACGCCAACCCTCTCTCACGCCCCTTTCTCAGCCTTTCAGAGAGGACTACCATTTTTTCCCAACCATAAAAACCCCAACTTATGTAAAGTTCATTTCTTGCTAGCTAAAAGAGAGAAACGAAGAGAGAGCAGGAGGGGAAGAACTGGTTTAGGATCTAAACAGTGTTAAATTATACTTAACATAATCTGATGTTCATAGGTATATAACATTCTTTGGCCATTGTATGATTTGTTCTAGGGTATTATATGTACATTTGCCATAACAGGGCTCTTTTATGTGAAATAGAAAAAGAGGGGGAAAGAAACTAACCTAAACCTAAAAAATTAAAAGGAAAAAAAATGAGAGAATATACCCTCTCAAGGTTTGAAGAGTGACACAGTTTTAAAAAATTACTGGCCACCAATAACCAGCAAACTAACAGCGTTTTAGAAAGAGAAATAAAACCGAGAAGGAAATCGCAAAACGAACGTGTGGATCTGAGTCCTCTACTATGGGCCCACGAGTACAAGAGAAGAAAAAACACCCACAACGACCTCTTTCACTCTACAAAAAGCTTTCTTTATTCCATAAAAATCAACCACCTTTTTTACAATGCACGCCCCTCGTTTTATTTACTTCTAAAACAACTCTCTTCTAAAATATCTCCTTATCTTCTAAAGACAAACCATAAAAAAAAATCCCTATCTCCGTGTTCCTTACCCAAAGGTAGGAATGGACCTCAATCTCACAACTCTTCACAATCTCTTCCATCTCACCTCTCTCCAACTTGATAACCATCTACGCATCTTAATCTTAGGAAGCAAACTCTACAATGTGATCTAAATATTTGCTCCAAGATTTGCTAAAATAGACTCTAAAAAAATAACCACTTATCAAACTCTAGATTGACTTTATCAAACTAAAGATTGTCTTACCAAAAAAAGTAACAAACTCATTCTAAGAAGATAGACTTATTCAACTAAATAAAAAACATAGACTGAACCTATTTATAACAATTAACCCTAATAAAAATAAAAATAAATAATAAAAGATACCATAGCAAAAAAAATAACAATAGAAGATTTTTCCATAAAAAACATAATGTAACCCTACTCCTAAAATAAATATAATTCCTAAAAACTAACCCAATTCTACCCACAACTCTAAAAAATAAAATTAGATTTTGAATAAACCCATTTTTTATCTTCATCATTCTCCACTGCTTGGAGAAAACTCGTCTTCGAGTTTTAAAATGCAATAAGATGAAATTTTTCCCGCAACCTTCTTCAACTTGAACATTGTAAACACAATCCTGCGACCTGTGGGTTACTGCATTGAAAATGATAAGCCTTCGAGGAAAGGGTCAGTGTATGTCAATTTTTAGCAACATAAACTTGCTGAAATTGCTCAAACTTAACCTTAGGGCACACCACATATGCTTCTTTTAGATAAAAACTAGATTCAGCAGTCGAAACAATTTCACCTATTTATTCTACTTTGAGGTCTTCCTCTTTCTCTTCATCAAATATTTCTGTAGGCCCAATCTCCTCTAGGTTCAAGTCAACATCCTTATTTTCCATCTCTTCATTGATGAGAAAATTAGATATCCTTGCTGCCTCAAAGACAGCTTCTCTGCTTTTATCTTGCTCTTCATCAAATATAGGACCTTCATCAAAGAAAATATCACTTTGGAATGATAATTCTAATTGAAGATCCAAGCCTATTGATTCTTCATCAAACTTAACTAGATCACTCTGTCGACCAAGAAGCTCCTGGCACAACGCCTGCGCAGGGAACAGGTTCTCGAAAGCAATGTCCAACTCACTACCATCATCATAATATGTCAGGCCTAAATTTTACGCCAAGCCCAAGGTCAGCTCTTCTACATTTTGAAGGTCCTATTTTCGCTAGATTGGCTCATTCCCGCTACCTAGCCATAGACCATGTCCACGAGCCATGAAGCCTATTGACGAATACCTAATTCAAGTCACATCCTGATTCTCCATCTCTTCATTGATGAGAAAATTAGATATCTTTGCTGCCTCAAAGACAACTTCTCCACTTTTATCTTGCTCTTCATCAAATATAGGACCTTCATCAAAGAAAAGATCACTTTAAAATGATAATTCCAATTGAAGATCCAAGCTTACTGATTCTTCATCAAACTTAATTAGATCACTCTCCCGACTAAGAGGCTCCTGACGCAACGCGTGTGCATGGAACAAGTTCTAGAAAGCAGCTTCCAACTGACTACCGTCATCATAGTATGTCAAGCCTAGATTTTGCGCCAAGCACAAGGTCAGCTCTTCTACATTTCGAAGGTCCTGCTCTCGCTAGATCGGCTCATTCCCGCTACCTAACGATAGACCACGTCCACGAGCTATAAAGCCTATTGACGAACACCACGATCCACAAGAATCGATTAATGCTCTGATACCACCAGACGCAGTTGAAAAAATTACTGACCGCCAATAACCGGCAAACTAACCGCGTTTTAGAAAGAGAATTAAAACCAAGAATGA